CAAGCACTGTGCGTTTGTCCAGCGTGTGCTTGAGGGCTGTAAGGCCGTTATTATGGGGAATGACGGTGTACAGAGATGTGATGTCCATGGTAAAAATGTAGCATTTGGTACCCTGAAATTGGAAATCATTAAAAAGTTGGAGCGCGTGGTTGGTGTCTTTGATGTATGAGGGAAGATCTTCAACCAGTGGTCTCAGCACAGCCAGCACAGCCAGTATTGAATTTATGCTGCTTTTATAAGATTTTTTTTTTAATGTGGAGAACAGAAGGATTTACGTGATCAATTAGCTACTAACCAGCAAACTGGCTATACTGCCTAAATTGGCTCTACTGGTGATTGTAGTTTAGTGCTGTAAATCTGGAGCACTACTTGCACTTGCTGGATTTTCACATTTTCACATTCAGGCTGTGTTGAATTTCTGCTGCTTTTATAAGATTTATAATTTAACGTGGATTAATGATTGACTCTGCGTACAGTATTTATAAACAAGTCGTTTCAGAGGCCTAACATTCTGGTCACCCAGACAACTCCAGACTGCTACTAACCATTAAACTCTTAATGCATAAGATATAATGCATTGATATAATGCATAAGAGGCCACTGGAACAATACACTACTGATTTATCACTTATACCTACAACATCACCAGCTACATGATTAATATGTGACTTCAGTAGAGCAGTTCTGACTCTCGAGTTTAAAAGTGACTCCAGGATCTCTGAGCTGCTCCAATATGGAAAACCAGCAGAAACACCCTGGGGTTCAGGCTCATGTTCACAAACTGGGACTGTGTGCTGCCCCCTGTAGGTTCTTTCCATCAGGCCATGAAGAGGGAAAGTGAATGTGAGGGCAGGAGTTGAAGTGGGAGAACAGCCCCAATACCAGCATAGCCAGTTCTGAACATCATATACTGTAGGCAGCAGAGAGAAGCACTTGAACACTGAACGAGACTTTCTGAAGGGACACAATTGGTCACAGTACTTTAGACCAGTGTCCAGATATGGAGACAGGAGATTCATGGAAAGAATGTGTCTGTGCTGTTCACAGGGTCCAGCTGGAGAGACCAGGATCACCAGTGCCCAGCTGTGTGTCCATGAAGAGTGACGAGTCAATGGAGCCTCCAATGCAGTTCAGAGGTGGAGCCCTTGACACTAACCCCAGGTGAGGTTAAAGTTGTCCATTGAGTGTGTCTGTTAGCAGGTTGTGAGATGAGATTGTGTGAACTGGATCATCTCTTCCTTTCTCATTTCCTTTGTTCTGTGAAAAGTTTAAGAAGGGTTTAAAAACACAGAATAGCATGTTCTCTCTAACATGGTTCAAATACTAACAGTAGCACCAGTCAGATCTGATCTGGTTTGGATGATTATGAAGTAGGGGCTCTTGCCTGGCACAAGCTTCAAGTCCCAATTCCTGCAGTCTCCTCTCTCTTCTCTGCATGCCTGCTTCTTGTTTCTTCTTCTCTTTGCGCTCTTAATGTGATCTTATAATGAGTGTGTTTGTCCTGCTCCTTGACAGTCATTAATCCACAACTTCCCCTTGTATACTAAGGTAAACTTTACAATTGTTTTTCCTCAAGGGACCCCCAGACCTCAGCAAACATCCTCCCTGCTTTGAAGTTAGAAGTGTTTACTCTGCCAAGTGTCACAAACTTAATCTAAAATCGAAGAGACACTTCTCAGCCACCTAAAGCTGTAACAATACACTACTGATTTATCACTGATACCTACAACATCATCAGCTACATGATCAATATGTGACTTCAGTGGAGCAGTTCAGTTGAGAAGTGGGAGAACAGCCCCAATACCACCACAGCCAGTCCTGAACATCATGTACTGTAGGCAGCAGGAGAGAAGCACTTGAACACTGAACGAGACTTTCTGTAGAGACACAATTGGTCACAGTAACTCAGACCAGTGCCCAGATACGGAGAAAGACTGTGTCTGTGCTGTTCACAGGGTCAAGCTGGACAGGCCAGGTTCACTAGTGCCCAGCTGTGTGTCCATGAAGAGTGACGGGTCAATGGACACACCAATGCAGTTCAGAGGTGGAGCCCTTGACACTAACCCCAGGTGAGGTCAATGTTGTCCCTTTGAGTGTATCTGTTAGCAGGCTGTGAGATGACATTGTGTGAACTATTTCCTTGATTTCCTTTGTTCTGTGAAAAGTTTAAGAAGGATAAATACCTGACAGCTAATACTGCTGAAAATAAAATCAAAATTTTACAGCTAGTATTTTCCCATGACTAATGGGTGAAAGAGTGTGTATCCACTGCAGACATGATCAGAGACACACACAGGGTGAGGAACGGAGAGCTGCAATTGAATGCAGGAGTGTATTTTTAAGGAGTGATGAGCACTCCTGATCTTGTGTGACACAGGCAGAGATCTATGGAATCAGCTGTGTGTCCATGAAGATGAACTAATAGAGTGTAGAACAGTAGCTCTGCTGTGATACTCAGTCCATTTACACAGTATGATTAACCTGATTTTATTGAGTTGAACTCACTTAAAGTTGTATGGCCAACAGTGTGATGATAACTTGATGATGACGGCGAAGTTGGCAGCTGTGATTATTATTGTTAATAAAGGTGTGTCCCTTACATTCATATTATAATTATTGGTTTACAAAGTCCAGGTCTTCGTCTTAATAGTGGAACCTGGTCAGTGAGTTTTGATGTCATGTAGGGTCAGAGTTAGCAGAGTGAAATGCAGAAGAACAGTTTCAGTGCTGGTGTGTTTTGATGGCCTGGTAGACATCCTGCATCCTGAACACTCAGCACACAGGGTTCTGGCCAAGTCAACCCGGTGCAGGAGTAAGAACATGAACAACCTGGATTATCTGATTGTCCATTCTGATGGACATGAATCAGAAAGAGACATCCAATCGTCTGGCTGTCAGGCCACATGATCGAGGTCTCACTAGGTTAAGATTGTTTAGGCTCGTGTGCAGTGATTTCTCCAACAAAATGTCACACACATGTATCTCATAACCCTTGCATGTTGTCCAGATAATGTAGATACCAGATAATGGAAAAACGAGCATGATAGTGATGTCTTTTGATAATCCCATTCGTTTCTCAATTTCTCTTTCCCTATTTAATGCCAAGGCACCACTTTAACAGTGTTTCATCATTGTGCATTATACCCCCTTCACTCCCTTTCTGTGAGGACAGACTACATCACAGGACAGCGTTTAAGAAAAACACACATTCCACATGAAGAAAACATGCAACTGCAACAGAATTACAATAGGTTCACATGACAAAGTCAATTTACTTTTACTTTTTTGTGGGTGTGAATCTCCTCCTGTCTTCAGATCTATTTGTGGTTGTGTGTTTCTACTCTTTTCTACTCAGCTCTGTGTTTGTGTGCATCTCAATCTTTCCTCCTGTCCTGAGGTGTATCTTTCCCACTTCCTGTCTTGAACTCTTTATGGGTCTGTTCCTCTCTTTTTTCTCATGTCTTGAACTCTTAAACCTGTATTTGTTTAAGGAGCGATATAGTGAGTGTCAGGAGGGCTTTATGACCCTAAGATAAAGGTGTAATGTGAAGATTTACATTGCCTTTGCTCATAGGTCTGCTGGGCAAGGAGATGTGTCCTGTGATTTCTGCACTGACAAGAAGATGAGAGCTGTGAAATACTGTCATGTCTGCCCAGCCTCCTACTGTGAGATACATGTCCGACAGCACTACACGGTCCCAGCCCTGCAGAAACACAGACTGGTGGACATCAGTGGAGACCAGGAGCCCAGACTGTGTCAGCAGCACCACAGAGCTCTGGAGGTGTTCTGTAAGACTGACCAGACTCTCATTTGCAGTCTGTGTTCAGTGCAGGAACACATGGGCCATGACACCATTTTCAAGTCAGAAGAGCAACAGACACAGGTAAGAGGCTTCAGTCACTCATCTGCTATATGAGATCAGAACTGTGCTGAATACTGACATTCTTTTCACCTGCTGATTCTCAGTGAAACTCTAAGGGCTAAGTGACTCTGCGCTGTGCCATCTCTTCCCTGAGCTCACAGAGATCTGTAGTGACCAGTGTGACTGAATTAATACACACTCATCACTGATGGCAGCTGAGTGTCTGTGTGCTGTTCTATTTCACATGTACTGTCCAGTGTAAAACATTAGTGACCAGAACTCAGTATCTCAGTACAGAAACACTGAGGGATGGTCTCTTACTCTTACTGCGGAACTGTTATCACTATGGATGTTGTCCTTCTCTTTCTATGAAAACTTGAGAACTATTGATTTCTTTACACTCTGCCAATTCTGCCTCTTCCTGAAGACTCAACCCCTTTCTCTGCTCTTCATGATCAGGATGTGGGAAGAGCTGTGAGTGACCTTACAGATGAACTTGAGAATTTCTACACAGGAGGATTTCAGGAGACTGACCAAACAGGTAAGTGTATGAGCATGTCTCTCAGGAGAAGGACAGGCTAGGTCAGTGTGTGAGTGTGTTTTGATGACTGCTACTGTAAGACTCAATTAAACATAATAATTTTAAGTCTCACACATGGATTCTAAATATGTAATTGTAGGAATACCGGCTCATGGACGCCAAATATGTAATCATAGCCATAGCAAAATTAAATGTAGTGGCTCTCTGAAGGCACCAGTTCTGTAGGGTTTGGGCATTTACTGAGACAATTATTAATTGTAGCAGTAAATCACAAAGTTGATTCTTTTG